AAGATACCAACTTCTACAACCCTAGCTGACACCCTAGAGGAAACAACTATTGTATGGCCACTTGACAATCAAAGGACTATCAAGCGTGTCACCAAGGACCATTAAATGTGGTGGGTACCCTAGAGAAATGCATAGGTTAGCAGAGACTTGACAAATGCCAGTTATGAAGGACTCCACAAAGAAGAGTGACACCTCCGTCGGCCACAAGGGATCACCAGAGACCACAGAAGATCCCCAGGGAAGCCTTTTAGAGATTCAGGTCGCATGCCTAATAACTATGTATACAGGATAATTAGTTCCTGGAAATAGAATGAATATGTACAATCCTTCTGGGAAAACTGATGCCTGTGTATGTATCCCAGGGGCATATAAGCTTGGATGGGTAACAGACACAGCACGCATGGTGGGTGAAATTATCTCCCATGCATCCAGCCACTATAAAGAAATGCCTGCTTCCTAACGCTAAGCCGAGTGTCAGAGAGTTCTTCATTGACTGGATTTCGGTAACAATAGGAGATCTACAGAATTAATGGAATTTTATTTTGGTTGTTCCTTTAAGCATGTTTGTGTTCTATTAGCTGTGTAATATTTCTTCTTGACAGAAACAATACAACATTTAAACACAGTGCCTGAGTTTCTTCGTATGAAATTTGGAGGGGCAATCATTGCATGAGTGAAGTGTGTCTTCTAGGTCCACAGAATTAGACATGAGAGGTGCTTGACTTTTCAGGCAGATATGTTTGCATAGAGGGAAAACTAAGGCAGTAGAAAGGAACTAAAATCTCTAGTACTTGGAAAACCAAAGTGTTTCAAAGGCACCAAAACTTCTGGGGTTTTTAAGAGTGACCGAACCCAGACAGTAACAGCTGCTCCACCTTTCTACGGTGATCTAGAGTATGACACCGCTATTGCTATTTGTAACTTCTGATCTGAGTTCAGATACCCTAAAGCATAAAAATAAGTACGAAGCTTGGCAAAGCAGATTTCTTTCAGAAGATCAATATTTAAACTACACGGTCCTATCATGCTTACACTTCAAACTCTGCGACACGGTCCTATCATGCTTACACTTCAAATTCTGCGTATTTTCTTTGCTGTCTATCTTGAAATTTGTTAAGAGTAAGGACACTAGGTTTATTTTCTTGCCTTTCAAAATCACCTTTAGTGTCCACAAGGGGATCATTTATAGTGGATTAAGCTGCCAAATGCCTTGCTGAAATCTAAAAAGGCTGAAGCACCACATTTGACTTTCCAGACTGTATTACATTAATCATCTGTTTTTCACCTGAAGCTGTTGATATCATCTCTGCAAGTAGCTCCATTTCTGCAGGGTCTGCTGAGACACTCATCAATGTTTCTTTCACAAAAAACACCAGTAAAACCTGGGAGGCACTTGCAGGAGAAACTGCCAACTCGATCTTCACAAACAGCCCTATTAAGACACGGGTTTGAAAGGCATTCATTCACTTCCATTTCACAGTGAGCACCTGAGAAGAAAAGAACAAAGTCACAGTTCTGCTTTGAATTAACCTAAGAAAGAAGATTCCTAACCCATCTCTGTTTTTTAAGGACTGTTGCCAATCTTCTAAGAAACAGCAAACACGAGGGTAGCCATTCAAGTTAGTGATTCACTCCATTAATTAAGGTTAAGTGGTCATAAAAAATTAAAGCAGCTATCTTTGCAGTTGTAGAAATTAACACTCAGCAAACTGTGGGGAATTTAAATGCATATTGCCCATCAAGGGAGTAATCTGGGCTGAATCACGGTATCACCTGGGAAACTATTTTGAGCAACTAATGAAAAGCTGCTACAAAAGACATTTATCTGGAATCCTAACTCTAAGAAGGAGTCTTTAAGCCAGGAACACGATTCTTGGATTTCTGCTGTAGAAGAGGCTCTTAAGTATCGAAGAATGAAGAAAGTGCATGTGATTGTACAGTGGAACTCTTTGGCAACATGATAATCAACAGATATGCCTAGCTGTTACAGAAATCTAGGAAAGCAGTAGGAAGTCAAGTATGGGGATGGGGAATAGTTTTAACATAGACCATCTTGTCTACTCTTCCAGTATTTTTCTTTTTAAAATGTAATTAAAAACAATAACTTGCACCCATGTGAATATCCCTACTGTTTCGTCAACATTACATAGTAACTTCATGGCAAAATTTATAACTGAAGGCTGATCACTTAGTAAATCCTGAAGCTACACTTACACTACAGGGACTCTGAGAGATCAGATGGACCTAAGGAATCTTGTGCATCCATATCAGTATATAATATTAAATAATATATAGCAATGAAATTGAAATACTTTAGACAGGTAGGTAGACATTTTTTTTTTGTTAGAAAGACTGAAGCCTGCCTCAAACAGAGAAAAGGTGTACCTGTGAATCCTTTTGCACAAGTGCAGTGGTAACTGTTCTTGCCATCAACACAGTGGGCTCCGTTCAAACATGGACTGGAGCTACATTCATTTACATCTTCCTCACACAGGAGACCTTTAAATAGCAAGTGTTACAAGGCATGATCAAAACATAGTCAAGGTGCCAATTCCAGAGACACGGTGAGACAGCTCACATGCCTGGAATGTGGTCATGGATGGCTCTGCCCTTTTTAGGAAAGACAGGCCAACAAGGAGAGGTGGTGGAGTTGCTCTTTATGTGAGAGAGCAACTGGAAAGTATCAAGTTCTGTTCAGGGATGGATGGAGAGAAAGCTGGAGTTTGTAGGTAAGAATGAAGGGGCAGGCTAGCATGGGTGATGCTGTGGTGGGTGTCTATTACAGACCACCTGATCAGGAGGAGAAAGTTGATGAGGCCTTTTACAGGCAGCTGACAGCAGCCTTGCAACCACAGGCTCTGGTTCTCATGGGGGATTTCAACTACCAAGATATTCACTGGAAGGCCCACACAGCCAGCCATCCTCAGTCCAGGAGGTTCCTCCAGTGCATCGATGATAATTTCTTGATGCAAATGGTGGATAAGCCGAATAGGGGAGGAGCGCTGCTGGATCTTGGGCTCACTAGCAAGGTTGAAGCGGTGAAGGTTGAGGGCAGCCTTGGCTGCAGCGACCAAGAGATGGTGGAGTTCAGGGTCTGAAGTGGCAGAAACAGAATACCAAGCAGGATCACAACCCTGGCCTTCAGAAGCGTCAACTTTGGCCTTTTCAAACAATTGCTAGTGGAAAACCCCATGGGACAGGGAACTGGAAGGTAAAGGTGCCCAAGATAGTTGGTTAATACTCAAGGACCACTTCTTCCAGGCTCAAGATCAGTGTATCCCAACAAGCAGGAAATCAAGAAAGAGATCCAAGAGACCTGCACCATTAACCAGGGAACTGCTGGACAAACTCAGGTGGAAGAAGAGAGTTCACAGATCATGGAAGGAGGAGCTGGCCACTTAAACGGAATATAAGACTGTGGTCAGAGAATGTAAGGAGGCAACTAGGAAAGCTAAGGCCTCCTTGAAATTAAACATTGTGAGGGAGAACAGAAAGGGCTTCTTCAAATACATTGCTGACAAAAATAACACCATAGGCAATGTAGGCTCACTGCTGAATGGAGTGGGTGCGCTGGAGACAAGAGGACAGAAAGAAGGCAGAGTTACTGAATGCCTTCTTTGCCTCTGTCTGTACTGCTGGAGACTGTCCTCAGGAGCCTCAGACCCCTCAGGCCCCAGATGAAGTCAGGATAAAGAGGAGTTTGCCTTGATTGATGAGGATGGGTTAGGGATCAGTTAGGCAATCTGAACATCCACACATCCATGGACCTTGGTGGGATGTAGCCGTGGGTGCTGAGGGAGCTGGCGGAAGTCATTGCTGGGTCACTCTCCATCATCTTTGGTAAGTCGTGGGGAACAGGAGAGGTGCCTTAAGACTGGAAGAAAGTTAATGTCACTGCAGTCTTCAGAAAGGGCAAGAAGGAGGGTAACTACAGACCAATTAGCCTAACCTCCATCCCTAGAAAGGTGATTGAACAACTTATACTCATTGCTGTCTCTACGCATATCAAGGATAAGAGCATCATTAGGAGCAGTCAACATGGTTTTACCAAAGAGAAGTCACGTTTGACCAACCTGATAGCCTTTTATGAGGACATAACCAGGTGGATGGATGGTGGCCATGCAGTGGACATTGTTTATCTGGGTTTCAGTAAAGCATTTGACACCATCTCTCACAGCATCTTCATAGGTAAACCGAAGAAGTGTGGTCTGGATGACCGAGGAGTGAGGTGGGTCACTAACTGGTTGAAGGAAAGAAGTCAGAGTTGTGGTCAATTGGACGGAGTCTAGTTGGAGGCCTGTGTCTAGTGGGGCCCCTCAGGGGTCAGTGCTGGGACCAGTGCTGTTCAATATATTCATCAATGACCTGCATGAGGGAACAGAGTGCACCATCAGCAATTTTCCTGATGACACACCAGAAGCTGACACACCAGAAGGCTGTGCTGCCATTCAGAGAGACCTATACAGGCTGGAGATTTGGGTGGGGAGAAATCTTATGAAGTTCAACCAGGGCGAGTGTAGAGTTTTGCACCTGGGAAAGAATAACCTCAAGTACCAGTATAGGTTGGGGACTGACCTGCTGGAGAGCAGTGAAGAGTAAAGGGACCTGGGGGTTCTGGTGGACAGCAGGATGCCCATGAGCCAGCAATGTGCCCTCGTGGCCAAGAAGGCCAATGGCATCCTGGGGTGTGTTAGAAGGGGGGTGGAACATCTTGCTTATGAGGAAAGGCTGAAGGAGCCGGGTCTCTTTAGCTTGGAGGAGACTGAGGGGTGACCTCATCTATGTTTGTAAATATGTAAAGGGTGAGTAGCAGGAGGATGGAGCCAGGCTCTTCTCAGTGATGTCCAATGACAGGATAAGGGTCAACAGGTGCAAGCTGGAGCATAGGAGGTTCCACAAAAACATTAGGGTGTTTCTAATAACATTTCACTGTGAGGATGACACAGCACTGGCAGAGGCTGCCCAGAGAGGTTGTGGAGTCTCCTCCTCTGGAAACGTTCAAAACCCGCCTGAATGCATTCCTCTGTGACCTACTCTAGGTGATCTTGCTCTGGCAGGAGGGTTAGGCTAGATGATCTCTTGAGGTTCCTTCTAACCCCTAACATTCTGTGATTTTCTGTGATTCTGTGAAGGTTTGCATGCTGCAGCAACTGAAAGTGGAAAACAAAACAGCACCATCCTGCTTACATAACAGAGAGCTACTGAGAGCAGGTGATAAAATTCCATGCAAACATCTACAGAAATCATCTGTGCTATTTAGATGCTGGCATGTGAAAGATGCAAAGTCCATTGTTTGTCTTTACGAAGTTCAAAAAGTATCCAGCAAACATTGCTGTTGATAAACACACAGCCACAAACATGAAAAATGAGAGAGACCTCACTCTAACCTGTAGATCAGATTGCTTTCCCGTTATAATTCCACAAGTATGAAATTATACAGTCTTTGTGTTTTGTGTTGTCTACCTGGTACAGAAACAACGCCTATCTGAAGAAGAGCTATGACGTGAAACAAATTACCTGAATAGCCTGGTTGACAATGGCAGATGAAGGTCCCAATGCCATCTTCACACATTCCACTGTTGTGACACGGAGATGATTTACACTCATCAACTTCTGTTTCACATTTCAAGCCTAGAATGCAAGATAAAGGACTGAGAACAGGGAGACAAAATTTGAAATTTTTCACATAGGTGAAAGTCATGACTGCTTAATACAGGAATACACGGCTGATTCATTGCATATGTTATCAAACATTCAGGTTTATTATTTTCTGTTTAGACTGTGTTTTAACACAGTGTTATCAGAAAAGTATTAAGCACATGGGCCAACAGACTGATGCATTCCAGATAATGGCACTTAGTATCTGTCACAAGCAACACCTATCACTTTGTGATAATAGCTGAATATGAAGTTATCTATTTGCTTTGAAGCAACAGGGTAGCTAACACTGACAAGGAGTATAGGCAGATCTGGGAGAATTAGCAGTTCAAGGTGAAAACTTTCAGCTTTTGCTAATAATAAATATTGCTAACTGACAGATTTTCAAATTCACTAATTCCACTAAAAGAAATACCATTCAAAATCCTCTTCTGCTAAACACAATGTAATTCATTGAGAACACTAAGAACTATTTTTTTTCTTAACACTTACATATGGTAAACCTGTGATGGATATTTCAGTTATTTAGGCCATACACCTGCACTGAAATGTTTTGTTCCTTTATGCTTTCTCATGTTAAGGGCATGGAGACACGTTAGCTCCTCCACCTGCTTCTCAATTTTTTACCTGTATATCCAAGTGGGCATATGCAAATATACCCACTTCCCAATTGTTTGCATGTCCCATTGTTGTGGCATGGCTCCAGGAAACATTCATGAAAGACCTGCCAGAGTCAAGAATGGTACAATTATAGTAAAGGAGGAAATAAAAGTGGAACAAAATACTCTAATTTTAAATGGCACACCCTGTAGTCACTTTAGAAAGCCGGGGGAAAAAAAGCATTAACTTCTGGCTCTTCCTCTTTGTCTCCTCAGCATATCAGCCATACATTTTTCTAGAGAAAAATACCAGGAATATGAATTACTATTTTAAATTGACATTTCACTTAGCAAAGTGTGATCATCGTAGTTGTTCCCTTAGAACTTTCTTAGCTATGATTCACAGGTGACATTTTATGCTATCTTTAACGTGAGAGTTCTCCACTTTGCATCCTTTTATACCAGCTAATCACTTTCAGCTACTGGTCATCAGGTGAGCTGGTGGAGAACTTCAATGTGTGGTATTTTTTTTTTTTTTCTAATGTAGCCAACCTGGATCTAGCAAGGCCCCTGAGTAAATGGTTAGCTAAAACCACGTGAGATCAGTTTCTCACCTCTTGATATGTTATATAATGATTTAGGCCAAATTTATCATCAGTCAACTTCGCTCCTGTTTATGTAATATCCTAACTTTAGACAAACAAACCAGTCTTGTCAGACTTGGGCGGGGGGAGATGGTGTGAATACAGGGGCAGCTCTAGCAAACATTATCCTTAGAGCAGTTTCACATGAAGATCTGCGTGTATTTCAAAGTCAGTATTCACAGCAGAAGGAAGCTCTGCTTGCCTCCTCCCAAGTGTATCTATGCTGCAATAAGTAAAACAAAGATTTTGCAAATGGAACTTAGACGCTTGGTAGCATTTTCTGGAATTCAGCATATGGAAGATATCAGATGACTGAATGTGGTCAATCTACTTTTTATAGATTGGCTAAACTTCCTCCATGGAGTTTACATTTCTGTTATAAGTGTGACAAATATTTCATACATCAGGTGAAGGCTTCAAGCCCAGAATTTAAGAGTGCCCACAGCTGATGCAGTCTCCTTTTTTCAGTGAAAGTGCATCTATGATTACAGAGTTTGAGTGTTCTCCTCACGACCACTGCTCTCATCTCCTCAGGAAATACAGTCAGCTTAACAAGTACGTTTAAAAACGCCTTAGTAAGTTCCTGCTGGATAAGGCACTCTTTCTTTCATTTGCAACAACACTGGAAAATATATCGTGTCCTTGCCTGACTGCTGGCTTTGTACTGTTTGATAATATTTTCTGGAGAGGCTGGTACCATCATTACACTTTCCTCAGCCGCTGAAAAAGTAGAGCCAAAACCTGAAGAGGAAAGATATGAAAGTGCTGTTAAGAACACTGCATGGCAAGACCCATATTCCATGACAGTATAATAACTGCATGTTAGTAATGCATCTAAATATAGGCTAAAAAAAGTGAATATATGAGAATAAAGAGCAAACTTCATATTAACCACATAGTATTTTATCTATTTTTTACAAAAATACGTATTTGTAACCACATCCATTTCTAAAACACATGTATGTAAGTGGACACAGAAAATATATGTATCTATACACACACATACATGTACACACACACATTTGTGTGTGTATATATATATAAAACTCTGTAGTGTATTTACATAGTATACATATACATAATATGTATATTATGTAAACATACTCTGTATATGTGTACTGTTATTGAGCCTTGGCATGTACCACAGTCACTACGTAATGTTACGTAGACTGTCACGTGACTGTGAGAGGGAACACCAGTAGGCAAAATCAGCTGAGAACTTCATGAGTTGAAATGGAAGGTCTACACCTGTTAGGAGAAAAATTGGGATGTTTTCTGCTAGGATTACTGCTGGTCATTCTTTAGATGTTCCTTCTATTCACTGTCTCTCACAGAGATAGTCTGGCTTACTTGAACAATCTGTGATGGATCTGGCACCAATGACAGTTGTTGTTCCATAAAATGGACAAGACAAGCAATAGGATTTTCCTGGGTCTGGCTGATAGTAGTCTCTGGGACAAGGGTAGCAGGGTGTCAAACCTGTTCGAGAGAACTCGCCTGCAAGACACGGTACTGCAAGAACAAAAGGATATGTTTTTTGAGTTACCACTTGCACTCCCAACCTAGCTCCCCCATATCTTTCTGTAATTTTCTCTCCTCTCCTCAGTCCCATCTCAGACTTAAAGGAACAGGATGAAACATGCCAGGAATTCACAACTCTAAGAGATGCTTATTTAAATTATGCTGTTAGGTACCGTGGTTCTCAAAGGATTATAGAAATATCTGGGAAGTATTCCAAACTATTAATTTTGCTGCTATGGGGGCAGCTTTCGAATGCAATTTCTTTTCTGTTTTGTCTCTCCAATCTGTTTGTTTTGGGTTTTTTCCTCCCTTCAGGAAGGGACAAAAGGACAAAACGAAGTCTTTTTTGTACTGTTATTCCCCGCAGAATATTCCCCCTGGGCATCCTTCTAGCAAAGCTTCCCAAAGACAGCTGAGGACAATTTCTTGAAAAAAGTTATGGAACAAACTACTCAGTATTTTTGCACAGAAGATGTGGAAGCTGTTTTGGAGATAATAGTGACAAACAACCTTTCTCTTCTGTAAAGAAAAAAGGTTTTATTTTCATGGTTCCACTTTTTCCCAAGGTGTCATTTTCATCACATATCTCATTTTATTCACCTCTAAGTAAGAATCCATCTTGGAAATCAGAAAGGAGGGCATTTCAGAGAGACTTTTAGAATTTAATTAAAAGAAATTCATATCCTCTTTATTTACAAACCTCCACAAGCTGAGACATCCACTGCACCTCTTTTTACTGTTGATGTGTTTTCTGGGCAAGAGATGCAATTCCTGGATCCAAATGCTGGTTGATATGTGCCAAGAGGACATGTTTCACAGGTCTCGAGACCATTAGGTGAATATGTTCCCTGCTTGCACTGAGCTATAAGGCAAAGAATTCATAAAGATTAAGCAATGTCCAATAGGAAACATGGCTCCTGACTTCTAAAAATAATGCTGAAATCACAGGATGTGCCACAGGGAATTTCAATTACTAGAGTTACTCTACTCAGAAGGACTTCAGGGGTACAAAGAGCAAAAACAAAAAGGAGATGCAGTAAGTTACTGACAGTGCATTTGTGAATTATTAACCAGTTAATTGTCTTCCAGCTTCTCTCCAGCTTCACAGATGAGTTAGAGCAACTCAGTCACCCATTTTTAATCAGCAAAATAAACAATAAGAAAATAAAGAGGAAATAAAACTAACAGCTTCTTGTTCAGAACAGGTCACAGAGGTAGTGGTGCTGAGGTGCTCAATGCTACAGCACTGTAGTTTAGGGTGCTGACATTTTATCTTTGATCACAGTCTGCTTTGTCTGGCAAGGACAAGAATGGCATTATTTTAAGTGTATTTACTCTCTGCAAAATGAGGACATAATGAAGATAGAAAGGAAACAATGCTTCAAAGGCCAAGTCTTCTTAAAACATGTGCCCAGGCATCCTGCATGCCACAGCAGTGTTGGAAACCTGGATTTTTCCCTTTACACGTCAACCTGTGTTTCCCACCACAGAAACCAAAAGGAAGCCACCAGGCATTCAGTAACGGCTGTCTGAAGAAGACAAAGTTCTCACCTTTGCATTCAGAGATGCTCCTAGAGTGTAGATACTCAGTATAGCTACCAGATGGACAACTTTTGCATTCCAGCTGCCCTTCCTCATCTTGGTAGGATCCAGTCCAGCAGCTTTCACAGGTATGATGCTCCAGGGAGTAATAGGTACCCAAAGGGCAGTTAACTGTAATATTGGAAACATAAGGTTGCCTTCAGAGTGCACAATCATACATGTTTTTTCTTGCCTCTGGAGTTGCCATTTAGTCAAACTCTGCTTATATGAAACATGACTGTTCCTCAGCAAATGAGGTATCTCTCTGCAAAGATCTCATTATGCACAGGAAATGGAATCCAATTCCCTTTCTTAGCTACACATCACCCACAAGACTAACAGGGTTAAATGACTGCATACCAAGCACTGTTTTCCTGTGTATCATCAGGCATGGATATGCCTGATTTCCCCATGGGAATGGAATTCTGGGTATAAAATCATCCTTCTTCCACAGGCCTTGGTTAGGAACATAAACATCCTCTGGAAGTCAAACTGTGCAAAGCATTTTTGCAGTTTATTGTTCTGGGAGACCACAAGCACTGGCTTGTGTCAAACGAAAACCCTCTGCAAACATCCTCTAAAATCTTGCATTTCAAAAGGATTCTAAACACATGTAAGGAGCAAGTCATCTGGCTTACCACACATTCTCCCCCTCAGCACAGAGCCAGGCCTGCAGAAAAGAAAGGCCTTCTCAGTCTCCAATGAGTTGCTGTCAGCTACAATGAGTTCAGATGCAAACTGAAAAGAATACATGGGTTCCTTATTGAGAGTCCTATTCAGCCTGTTTGTAATGGTCTCCAGAGTTTTAAGGAGCCGTCGCTGATTTTCCAGTTCCAATGTATCATTCCTTTCATCAGGCAGTGGCACGCTAGCTGAGATATAAACAAAAAACACAAAAAGTGTACAGATTTTACAGTCAGCATTTCCAGTGTACTCTGGAATATATTAAGGGTGCAACACTCAAGCTTGCCAGTGGTAAGTGGAAAGCAGGCCACATGCACAATGCTCTCCATGAACATGAAGCTTCCTCCAAGCAGAAATTCTGATGGCATGGGGCTACAGATGTCTCCAGAAAACTATTATCTCAATGTAGGAGAAACATGTTCTTTAAACAGAAGGAAAAGGAGAAGGATAACGCTTTGACTTCTCTCACCTGTGATGTTAAATATTAACTTGATTTTGTGGTCAGTCATTGGAACATTCAGCTTATGCCTTTTGACTCGAGCAGGTGCTGCCTGTACAGAGGCAGAGAGATGCCTGGCTAAGTCTCCTTCTTGTGCTGCATGAACAAAATCATCGTAGGAATAATCCAGCTGATTTGCTGTCCCCCAGCCAGCAGGTCCTGGATGCATTAAGAAAGAACAAAATGGGAAGTAACACCATGCGGAAGAAAATCACCTGTACTTATTTCTAGAACACATCCCCAGTAGAATGAGATCTGTTTGAAGCTCCAGAGAATGTGTGCTAGATTTGCTGTGCACAACAGGCTATTTTACCAGTATTTTGACTAATGAAAAAGGAAAAACTAGTCTTACTCCTAACTGATATCCTAGACATCCTGAATCTTGTGCACATAGCCAAAGATTTAAAGACATACTGTCATAAAAATTACAGGTTGAAATTCTTCCTTTAGCATGGACAGGGGAACATGGACCTGTCAGCAACATCTTAAACAATTCCATACTGCTTTCTCTTCCTCTTCCAGCTCAATTACAGGCAGCATGGCCTATGCCGTGCCACGTCTCCATTGCCGCTTTTTCTCACACCTCCTGAATAGTTCTATCATCATCCACATTCTCAGAAAAGACTGGTAACATCACCTTATTTGTTCATTCTACCTGTTAAACACAGTGAGTCAAATTCACCCCTTGTATAACGTCCTTCAACAAAACATGCTTTCAACTATAAAAAATCAAACAAAGAATTGCTTCTGTATATAATCCACATTTTAATGACTGAATTTAGAGGTGCATGGTGTATTTCACTGATCTAGCTATTCTTAAAAAAATACAAAGATGCTAAAAATTTCTGCAAATTACCTGTTAGCAGTCACCTAGATTTGCTTAATTTACACTGGAAACTGGGACAAATTAACATCACAGCTTTGTGGTTAATCGCATTTGAGCATTCCACAATTAGTGTTTTAAACTGCTGTCTCTTGTGACTTGAAGAGACTGCTCCTCTCCTGCCTCCCCAGGGTAAAATAATGAGACACTCCAGAAAAAAAAACAGCAAAAAGGTTATTCTGATAAGAGATTGACATGAACCAGAAGAGAACACTTTAAAAGTTAGCTCCAGCCATCATCAGTACCCATCCTTACACAGATAACTGCAAAATGAACACATAGCCCTGCTGTGTCCAATTACAAAGAAATGTGCTCTCAAATCAGTGAAGCATGTCTAAAAGGTGAGAATAAGCAGGAAGCTCTACCAAGTAACTCCGCTATAAACCTGTAAAAGAGCCACAGTCCTACAACAGTGTGTGTATTCTGATGTTGATCTGCCAAAATGCCTTCTCCTACGATAAGTAATGTACGTTATTTGTTTTTAGCCTTTCTGCTCTGACCATGCCTCACCAAGGGACTCAGAAATACCACGGACAACAGCAGCAGAACATGGACATCAACCTGTTTGAAAACAGATTAAAAATGACCAACTTTCTTAGCACAAAGCAAACTGGGAACAACACTAGGACTTTCACATCTTTCAGTCTGATATAGCCATAGTCATCTCGCAAAATCCATCCCTGCATACAGGAAGTTGTTTCACAGCTAAAGGGCAAACTCAGGCTTGCACAGCTTTCACACTGCGAGGGCTCTGTGCTGATAAGAACTGCCATCAGGATGCTCCTCCTTTTCCTAACAATCTCCAGGACCATCTATTGTATCTTTTCAGTATTTTGGTTTGAAACCGCATGTTTTTAAAAAGCTGCTTTCTTCCAGGCTAATCAAGCATGTTTGTAGGACTCTCTGTGTGTGCTTTTTTTCCCTCCCTATCATGCAGCATCTTGAGAAACTCTTCCTGTACACTAGATTAGGAAGCAGTAGCAAAACCAGGCAGTAAACAGTTCCATAATATTGTTACAAAACTGATTATGTAATTGCTTGCTATCTTCAGAGCTTCATATTTATTTTAAAAAAATCCCATACACAACACATTGCATACCTCAGAACAAAAGGAATGATGCCGTGTTAAACACGGATGACTAAGATTCTACATAATCAATAATTACCTATGGCAAATCCATTCTCGTAATCGTAATTATATTCCAAGCAATGTTTCTGTGTCTGATCTTCCAATCTGCAGTCAATATCATCAACATGATTACAGAATGATGGGACCTTCCAACATGAAGAAGAACAGCATTAAAAAATTATTCTAAATAAAGCCACATAGCCCCTTTCCTCGACTTAACAAACTTTGTTACAATGTAATTCACTGGTGCCGCCACTCCACTAGATTTCCCCTCTCATGTCTCTTTTAACCCTGATAAGGTCTCCTGAAAGAAATTACAGATACAGCTGGGAAGGAAGAGGGCAACCTGTAGGCATACAAGCACTTTGTTACAGAAGACCTTTTTTATAAGAGAAGATGTCTATTCAGTTAACTGCTCTTGCATGTTTTGGAATTGCTTTGCTTTCTCCATATTAATTTTCATTGGAAAGATGGCTTCTGCCGATTCCTCCTTCCTCTTCCTCTGCCAGAATTTCAAATTCTTGGAAACAAGAATAGGCATATTCAAAACAGCCTTTCTGACTGTTTTCCCAGATTGTTGCATTTTGATGTAATTCCTTGGGCAAGTCACTAGGCATTTTTTCCTTACAGCCTTTTGCTTGCTGATAGTAATAGTTTAAGCAGCGGAACCTGGTGGTAGCTGGCACTTAGGGGAAAGAAACAGAAATAAAACCAGCCAAGATTTCTCTACCGAAGGAAAACAAACAGGAGGCAAGGCAAGACAGTAACAAGTGTCAGAGACTGCCCAAAGCATTAGGCAAGTTACTAGCCATGTGTCAAGGGCTGTTGTCATATATTCTAAAGATGCAGGAGTCTGTCCGCTAGCTGTATGTGCTAATAATGCTTTTTAATTAGTAGAAAAGCTTTTAGCATGGGCCCTGTTATGCCAGAAATCTGTAAATGCCCAGTGTACTTGGTAGATGCATTCTGGCCTTCCCATTTCCAGCCATTACTATGACTTCAGCTGGAATTCATGGTGCTTGGCCTAGGGATGGACGAGGAGCTGACTGTGAGCTTGTGGGTCAGAGTTAGGGGAAAAGCAGGGGAAGGTAATGCAATAGTGGAGGTGTGCTACAGGCCACCTGACCAAGATGACCAAGCAGACAAGGCCCTCTATAGACAGATGGAAGCAGCTTCACATTCACAAGATCTGGTCTTCATGGGGGACTGCAATCACTCGGATGTCTGTCGGAAGGACGGCACAGTAGGGCGCCAGCAATCCAGGAGAACCCTGGAATGCATTGGTGACAATTTCCTTCTCCAGGTGGTAGAGGAACTGATGAGAAGGGTGCCATGCTGGACCTTGATCTCATCAACAAGGAGGCGCTGGTGGATAATGTGAAGCTTAAGGGAAGTCCTGGCTGCAGCAACCAGGAAATGTTAGGATTCAAGACCCTCAGGGCAACAAGGAGAGGGTGCAGCAAGCTCGCCACCCTGAGGAGACCATATTTTGACCACTTCAGGTGTCTGCTTAGTGGTGTACCATGGAGATGAAGCCCTGAAGGGGAAGGGGCCCAAGAAAGCTGGTCCATATTCAGGGACCACCTCCTCTGTGCCCAGGCATAATGCATTCCAGAAAAGAGGAAAGCAGGCAAGAATGTCAGGAGGCCTGCGTGGATGAACAAGAAGCTCCTGGGCACACTTAAAGACAAAAAGAGAATTTACAGAAAAGGGAAGAAGGGACAGGTAGACTGGGAAGAATACAAGAAGTTGTCCGAGCAGCCAGCACTCAGGTGAGGAAAGCTAAAGCCCAGATGGACTCAAAGCTAGCCAGGGACATCAAGGGTAACAAGAAAAACTTTCATAGGCATGTCAGTGACAGAAGGAAGGCTAGTGGATGTGGGCCCTCTCCAGAAGGGAAGAGCTTGTCATGAAGGATAAGGAGAAGTCAGAGGTTCTCAGACTTCACCGGCAAGGGCTCTAACTACCGTCCAAGTTGTGGAAGCCAAAGGCAGGGGCTGGGATAAGGAAAATCTGCCCTCTGCAAGTGAAGATCAGGTTCGAGACCATTTAAAGAACCTGAAGGTGTACAAGCCCACGGGATCTAAGGGAACTGGCAGATGAAGTTGCTAGGTCACTTTCCATCATATTTGAGAGGTCATGGCAATCTGGTACAGTGCCCACTGACAGGAAAGGAGGAAACACAAACCCCATTTTCAAACAGGAAGAAAAAGGAAGACCCAGGCAACTACAGGCCAGTCAGTCTCACCTCTATGCCCGGCAAGGTCACGGAGCAGATCCTTCTGAAGGCTCTGCTATGGCACAAGGAAAATATGGAGGTGATTGGTGGCACCCAACATGGCTTCACCAAGGGAAAATCCTGCCTGACAAATCTGGTGGCCTTTTATGATGGAGAAAATAGAGTCAGTTGACACGGGAAGAGCAACTGATGTAATCTACCTGGACTTGTGCAAGGCTTTTGGCATTGTCCCACGTGACATCCTGGTCTCCCAGTTGGAAAGACATGGATTTCATGAATGGACCACTCGGTGGATAAGGACCTGGCTGGAAGAGTGCACTCAAAGAGTTACAGTCAATGACTCAACGTCCAGGTGGAGACCAGTCACA